TTTCTCACTTTTTTAAAGTAATTTTCGTAATATATTTTCCTATTACAATATGTATTATGTTAACCTTAAGCAGTAAGTATAAATTAGATTTTAAATTAGAAGTACTATTTTAAAAAGTAAATAATTAATAAATCAATTAATTAGATACAATTCTTAGAAGTTTGAGGCGTCAATTACTTTTAATTGAATTTCAAATTGATGGCTTAACAATAATAATATACCATTCGATATTTTCCTGTAACTTAATTAAAACAGTAATATAGTTAGAATGGGAATTTATAAATATGAAGTTAAGTTTGATTCAATTAAAATTATAAATATTATATTATATGAGATGAGATGAAGAATAAATAATCTATTTTTAATTTGATAATGTAATTGATTTTTTTTCAAAATAGAGAATATTAAAAGTTGATAAGCACGCTTTTAACACATGGCATAGGTTGTGTTATCTAGATTGTTATTTCCAGTAGAAGTGCTATTCTACCTCATTCAGATGACATTCCTTAAAGTATCTAAATAACAACTATCCTAAATCAGCTTTATTTATTATTATATAAACTAAACCTAATATAATAAAAATTTATGTTATATCAACTTTTACCATATATTAATGATTTTTATGGAAACTAATATTAAATATTTTTATAAAATGTTTATGAATATAATTTTCCTGGGACTTGCGATACCAGCTTTCTAGATTCAATAATAACAATTCTTAGATTAGGAAAAAATAAAGCTGGGCAGTCTTTTTTACCAGATGGCTATAAATAATAAAAATGATGAATAAAATTTTTTAAACCTAAATTTCCAATTACTACAGAAGGTTTAAGAATTTGATACTTACACGAATCTTTATTAAAATTATCACTTTTTATAAAGAAATATTAATGAAACTCTTTTATTAGTAAATGAGAAATTGCAGCTTAAAGCTTTGTTATCATTTAATGATTTTCCAATAAATGATAAATTAATAGTAAGCATATCAGATTTTTAAATTTAACTACCTGAAGAAGATTGTGAAAAATTTTACTTTCTACAAGACGATCATCTTCTTGCTGTTTGCAAAGAGAATGGCAATTACCTATAAATTTTTACACTTAGCTAATAAAAAATAATTGATTAAAAATAGCTTAAGTATTAGTTTAAATGTGAGATTGGTTTTTCAAAAATAGATTAGGTACTAATTATTTATGAAAAAAATTGTTTAGATATCTACATATATAAATAGAAATTGATTTCGAAAACTATAAACTCAATATTTAATAATTATCTGAATTAATGACCTTATTGGTAGAAGTTTAAAGTGATCTACCTTAAAAATTAATATAATTAGAAATCTGTTAAATTGATGAATTTTATATAGCATTCCAAAAGACATTATTTTATTATTCAGTTTAAGTGAAGATATTATGCGTAATTTATAGGGCAGAAGGACAACATTTAGAAATATATGAACTCCTTAACTGTTGTAAAAGTCTGTAGTTTACACTCATTAATAAAGATACAGGTAATTTTAAACTTATCTTAGGTACTCTAAAATTTAAAAGCAAATTCATTATTAGTACTCAAGGTTATAAATAATCATATATTAACAATTATTTTTTGTTACATCATTTCGATGACAAAGTAGTAGTCTAGTTGAATGAATAGTTGCATTTATTTGCATTCAGAATTTTTCAAATTTTTTCAGATTTCTGATATTCCTTACTTTGTGTCAGTGGAAAGCAATGGCAAACTTTCTATTTTTAAATTAGAAAATGGAGATGTTTATTTAAAAGAAATGAAGTCAAAAATGATAGGCATCTATAAAATTTTGGGTTAAAAGTCAGAAATTATAAA